GGACTCCGAGAGATCCCAGGGTCAAAAAAACCCACGCAAAAAAAGGCGGGGCAGTGTGCGCCACCCAAAACTGGAGCCTGGCCAACCAGAGCCATGCTCCAGCTGCCAGCCCTGGTCCGAGTGGCAGGATGGTCGCTGATGCAGCCCCAGGAGGCCCCCAAATAATTCTGCTGGGGCCAACACAGATGCCCACGCTCATGTGGATGTGGCCCTTGCATATTAGCTGGTGAGAAACTCTCTGGAGACTGTCAGAGAGACCTCATGGCCAGAGAAAGGACCATTCCAACATGCCTGGAGAGATCCCAACAGTTAGAAACAAAAAAGCGAAAAAACTCACAATGAGGAAGGGAAAAGTCAACCCGATCTTTTTCTTCTAATAAGAAAACCTCCCAACTTTAAAGACAGCCTAAATAGCAACCGAGGCTTACGTATGAATGGGGGATTGGTGGTGTCAGGGCTTACACACTGGTGTACATGTGTGGCAGCAGAAACTAAGGAGACTTTATCAAAAGAAATTAAGGGATGCGACGCACCTACTGGGTTAAAAAGTAGCTAAGCAGATGATTTGAGACACTCAGAAGCTCCTAAATGATGGATGTAGGGACCTAAAGTTGCCATTAGATGCCTATATTAATTTGTGGATACTGAATTCAAACCTCAGGAGATGTATATAATCTGATCATTTTACTTAACTGGTATCTTCCGTACAGCTAAAGTGATCATATCTCCTGGTTTTACTTCAGACAATGCTAATTTTTCCTGTGATACCTTGCCCAGTAACTTCTTTCAGATCAGCCAGGTTTTTAATGCAATTGATCAAAATGCTTTGGGTTTCTTTACAACTAAAAATGTTTGCTTGTTGATCAAAGACTTCTTGATACCTGAGCTGAAGCTACTCTGTGCTTTCCAGGAACAAACACAGTGGACTTATCTCCAATATGTTAGCTCAAATTACCCACGTGCAAATTAACTTCTTTTCTGTTAGCTCAAGAGCAGTTACACTGCAAGAAAACACTGGAATCGCACAGAGCAGCAGCTCAGAGCACCTGAGGCCTAATCAGCATATAACACTTTGCAAGCAACATTCTCAAATATGTCCACACCCAAAGCCCCCCCCACAGTGGCATGACCCTTCTTTTTTGCCAGCAGACTTATCCTACCTCTGCTGAATGAAGGGAGGTTTCTGTCACCACGCTGCAGAAGGCATGTGTAGGTATTCCCACACCTGCCAACTGCCAGTCCCTTCAGCAGCTAGCACCAACCCAGGGTGCACTTTGCACTCTGGTGGCATAGCTGTTGAATGGAACTGCCCAGAACCACCAAGTGTGCCTGGGTAGTCATGCACACTGGCAGCTTGGCAGAAGAAGGTGCTGTCTGTCACCACAAACTCTGTCACAAGGGAGTAGGTATAGACAAAAGTAATCAGAACTCTTGGGGAAGTGATATCTTTTATTAGACTAACTAGATAGGCTCAGGTAAAAGTTGGAGCAGTCTATAGTCTATTTAGGTAAAGATAAGGCTCTAGTTTAGCAACCCGTAAGTTTCAAACTCCATCCCTTGAAGGGCCAGGCACTTTGGGTGCCTGTACACATGCAGGGAAGCTGCTCTGATGCACTGTAATTACATTACTGTAATTACAGTGCATCAGAGCAGACTCGATTAATCGAGTCTGCTGGAGTGTGCTAATTAGCATACCCCGACCAGCCTCCGCATCTCGTGTGTCAGTGTCCTGCCTTTCAAAATGGCAGTGGGGGTGAGCTTTAGTTAAAGAGACTCTGCCACCATTTTGAAGCTTGGGGATGCTGACACATGAGATGCTGCAGACACTTTAATTAGAGTGGCTCTTGGAGCTGCTCTGATTAGAGCCCCTCTACCCCCCCCCAGCACATGTAAAAATGCCCTTTGAGTTTAAAGGGTCACTTCACTTCAACTAAAGACTTTTTTGGCTGTATGAGAGTTTGGTCAGGAATGACAGGAGAATGAAAATAAGTTGTTATTATGACCAAGTGAATGAAGAGAAAAAATGAATGAATGTCAGTATTTGAAATCTGTTATTTGGAATAAAATTAATGTTTTGTACAGTTCCAAATTATATCTGTAACACAACATGGTCCAGGTATAGTGATTACAGATTCATGGAAAAATAGGGTTGGAAGGGACCTCATGATATCTTGTCCAGCAGCCAGCAACCTTTTTAGACTGTGGGTTGGAGTGATCCAGTTCAGGTCAGAGACTGCAGGGAGGGCACGTGCTAGGATCCAGCCAGCACCATCACTTTTTTCCTTTAGCAGCACAGGAAAGTAACTGCTGTCAAAGCCCTCCCTGTTTGTGGGTCAGATAAAACAGCCCTGCACACAGGATCTGGTTGGGCTGTAGGTTGCCAACCCCAATCTAGTTCAACCCCCTGGTCAAGGCAGGATCATTCCTGGCTAAATCACCCAGTCAAGTATTTGTCTAACCTGCTCTTAAAAACTTTCAGGAATAATCAGTCCATGCCCTCTCTGGGTAGCCAATTCTAATATTTAACCACCTGCCAAGTGAGAAAGCTCTTCCTAATATCCAACCTCAATTTCCCTTCCTGCAATTTTAGATTACTACTTCTTGTTTCATAAATTTCATAGACATTAGGGCTGGAAGGGACCTTGGAAGATCATCGAGTCCAGCCCCCTGCCCAAAGGGCAGGAAGTCAGCTGGGGTCATAGGATCCCAGCAAGATAAGCATCCAGTTTGCTCTTGAAGGTGTTCAGTGTAGGCACTTGAACCACCTCCGGTGGCAGGCTGTTCCAGACCTTGGGGGCTCGGACAGTAAAGAAATTCTTCCTTATGTCCAGCCTGAAACGGTCTTGTAGTAGTTTATGACTGTTCGACCTAGTCGTCATCCCTAGGGGCGCTCCGGTGAACAAATGTTCCCCCGGATACTGGTGGTCACCCCTGATAAACTTGTAGGTGGCCATCAGATCACCCCTGAGCCTGCGCTTTTCCAGGCTAAAGAGCCCCAGGGCTCTCAGCCTGTCATCGTAGGGTCTGCTTCCCTGACCTCTGATCACGCGCGTGGCTCTTCTCTGGACTCTTCTCTGGACTCTGGGTTTTGTCCCCATCTCTTTATAACTATCCTTTAGGTATTTGAAGAATGTTATCAAATCCCTCCTCACTCTTCTTTTGCAGTCTAAATAACTCTAGTTCTTTCAGCCTTTCCTTGTAAGTCATATTTCCCAGACTTCTAATTATTTTTGTTGCTCTCCACTGGACTCTTGATTTGTCCACATCCTTCATAAAGTATGGTGCTCAAAAGTTGACACAGTACTCCATGTGAAACCTCACCAGGGCCAAATAGAGTAGAAGAGTTGCAACTGATGCTCTTATTAATACAGCTCAGGATGAAGGTGGTCTTTATCACAACAGGAGTACGCCGTTGGCTCATATTCAGTTTATGACCATTGGTGACACGTAGGGGGTGCACGCAGGTGCCTGTGCACGTGCACACCCTAAGATCAGCTGTCCACCCCCTGGAAGCACCAGCCGCGGAACTGGAAGTGCCAGCAGAAGTGCACTTCTGGTTTCGCTGCTGGCTCGGCGATAGGCCACTGAGGGCAATGTGGTGCCCCCCCCAGACTCGGGAGGCACCAGTCACTCATGTTTATGACCCATTGTTCTTTCCTGCAGTGCTCTAGCCTAGCTGGTCATTCCTTAGCCTGTATTCATGCATGCAATTCTTCTGGCCTAAACACAAGAGTTGTACTTCATTTCATTCAACTGATTCCAGACCATTTCTCCAGCTTGTGTTCATATGCCAATTTCTGCACGCAAATCATTGCACACATGTTTGCAAAGCAGCTCATTCACTCATTTGCAGTAAATACCATAGAAGGAGAGAAACAAAACCAGCTATGGAAAAGACCTCCATGGCAGTAAAAAAATTTTACCATAAAGGCTCCCCATTTTCTTATTTTGCACAAATAAACCACAGGTGGAGAGGGAGTATCTCCAGTATCGGAGTATGACTCAGAGTTGTTCAGAGAGGAGAGGATGCCTGCCTCTTGACTCCTAAAACAAATGCTCTGCTCCCAGCTTAGTAACAGCCTCAGATAACGTGATAGCCCAAGGAAATGCTACAAGGGCACACTGAAGGCAGACCTCAAGAAAATGGATGCCGACATCAAGAGCTGGGAGGAGTTGGCTGCTGAGTGACTCCAATGGCACTGCAACCTCAACCAAGCAGCAGCCTGTTTCAAGGTCAATCGTCTCACCCTTGAAGCAGAGAAGAGAGAATGGAAGAAGGAAAAGGAGAGAAATCCTAGCCCGCAGCCTTTCCCTTACAGAAAGATGGGTCTGTGCCTCAAGGATTGGACTTCATCTCTAGGGGTCCCTTCCAGCCTTACTTCTCTTTGAAAACTTCTGAAGTCACCTCGAGACTCAACAATGAGCCATGGCAGAGACTACCCTTCAAGCGAGGGATTGTGGCCACTGTCCATTCAGGAGGGGTCTGAGTGCTGGCTGCTGATGGGGGGGACGGGACAGGTGGCCCCCAGCAGAGAGGGACAGGAAGCATGATATTCTTCGGTGGGCGAGAGGCTCCGCGCCACGTTGGACAGCACTGCCTTGTGGCTGGCACCCAGGTGCTGTGGTGGCACCAGGTAGGCACAGCACAGGCTGGCACAGAGTGTGCGAGCGCCCCATGGGAACACGGCCCCTGGTAACGGCCTGCGCTACCCCTGGGGCAGCCAGTGCCAGGCAGCTGGCACATGCCACAAACAGGCCTCAGCCCAGCACAAAGCCGGGGGGGGGGCTGGGGTCTGGGCCTGCCTGGTCCCCCCGCCAAGCACCTGCTTTTGCTGGGCCCAAGTGCAGGGGCTACCCTGGTGGCTCCAGGAGGGCCAGGGAGCACTGCCCCGCTCAGCCACTGGCCTATTGCCTTCCCATCCTGGAACCGGCTCCTTCCCCATAACCCTGCCTAGCGGCAGAACTTAGTTCATTCCGCCCCCACAAGTCCTACTTCTCACCTATCTGTCCGTGCGAGGAGTTGGTACAGTCCGCTTCCCCCCGCTACCGTGAGGCATTGGTACAACCCCCGCCCAGCCTCCTACCTCTCCGCCTCTTGCGGGTGCGAGGAGTTGATACAGTCCGCCCCCCCAGCTGGCGTGAGGCGTTGGTACAACCCTCCCCGACCCCACCTCTGGCGCGTGCGAGCGGGTTGGTGCATCCCGCCCCCCTCCTGCACAGGGCTGGAGTGGTTTATCCCACCTGCAGCATGCTGGGAGCGGAGGGTGGGGCTTTCTTCTCCTTCTTTCTCTCTCGCACTGTGTGGGTGGCGGATGCTGACGCGCGGGCTCTGGGGCTCCCCACTCCCACGTGCTCCGGTCTAACCGCCGGGGGTCTGCGCTGTCAGCTGCTCGCGCTTCTCGCTGCCTAGCGGGGGCGGGAGGGGCCCTGGGCGCTACGGTAAGAGGGGCGGGGGAAAGAACGGCCCCGCGTTTTTCTGCCTCGAGCGGCCGCGTCGGTTAAGCGGCCCCGGGCGTGGTACCGAGGCTTGGGCACAAGTCCCGCGGGAACTGGCTTCTCCGGGCTCCACAGGCGGCTGTCGCCTGGCCCGGCCCTGCCCGCAGGGGACCGGAGCCACGGCCTGGCCGGGTGCCCTGGGGGCGACCTGCGCTCCGCGGGCGGCGGACACGGCAAGCTCTCGTCTCGGTTCGGCGCCTGAGCGCAACGTGCGGCGGAGCCGGGGCGCTCGTGGGTCTTGTTCTTGCCTTTTGTGTTGCCCATTCATTTTTGTCACTAATGACTGCGGTGTCAAAAAAGGCGTAAAGAAACCCCCTCCACAGCATCCCTCGGCACTGGGGGCGAGTCTCCTCTGCCATTCGGCTGTGGAAGGAACAGTTTTATTTTGTGAAGGTGTTTGAGGATCACACTGTAGGCCAGTCTGATCTCAGGCCCCGTTTAGCTCAGCAAACAACTTGCTTTGGTAATCACTGCATTTACTCTATTGCAAGACAAGGTGTTTAACCCCCCCCCCCCCCCCCCCCCCCCTCCCCACGTGCGGAACAGGTGT